GGGGGGGGGAGCAGCCCGCACAGCCCCTCCCATGCGGAAGCCCCTGCCCACGCGGGCTGGAAGTTGACAAGGGCTGCAGAACGTGCAAGATGGCCACCGCAGTCGGGCAGGACGAAAAGCAGGCGCGGAGCCACCGTCAGCCCCACTCCCACCAGAGGGGGTCCCCAACCCGGCCTTCTCCCCCCACCGCCCCAGGCCCTGGTCCCCACTCCTGCTGCCGCCCAGAGACCAGCAAGGGCCCTTGTTTCTGACATCCTTCAAACACGAGGGGGGAAGGCGCCTTGTGACGAACAGAACTGGGTCCAAAGCTCTTTAATTATTAAGGTGGAAACAACTGGCACAGGGAAGGGGGTGCAGTGTGCTGAGTCCTGGCGGCACCGCTGTGGGGAGCCCCGCCATCTACGTCCACAGGACTCCGCAGGACTGTGCCCTAACTGCCCAGCTGAAGGCCCCCGAGGGAAGGGCTGCCCTCCCCACCAGCTAGACCGTGTAATTCTAAACATTTTTAGAAATGGATGAAACATCCCAATGGCAGTACAGAGCCAGCTGTAAAACCAAGCACCGCTGAGACCCGACTAGATAACAGAGCTGGCGGCGCGGCGCCTGCCCAGCGCCCGGTCCCCACAGAAAACCCTCCAGCTTGCGGGCTGTGACGTCCCAGGCAGCCCGGCATCCTGACCAGCGGCTGGAGAGCGACCCCGCGGCCCACTGCGCCCCCACGGGAGACGGGTCCGCGGAGCCCCCAGGGGTAGGGCAGAGTCCCCACTGGCCAAAACGCATCTGCTTTCCGGACACAGGACGTCTTTTCCTTTCTTTCAAAGCAAGTTGTAGCTGACCGTGCCGTGTGCCACTCAAGTATGTGACATCTCCAGCCCTGCAGCCCTGGGGGAGTCTTTACAACAGGAAGTGACTTAGACGAAGCAGAGGAGTCAACCTCATTGACACAAGACCTGCGGCCCTAGCGGGACGGACAAGTCTGAGGCCCGAGGCCCTCCCGCGGGGCACGGGGGACCTGGGGTCTGAGGCCTGAGGCCGGGGCGAGCACCGGGGAGCTGGTGGAGCCGGGCGTCTGGTGGTGGACCGGGAGCCCGAGGCCTGGGATCTGAGGTCTGGGGGGACCAGAAGCCTGGGGTCCAGGATCTGAGGTCTGTGGGGCCGGGAGGTCTGGAGGAGTGGGGCCCTCGGGTCCGCGGTATGGGCACCGTGAGTCTGGGGAAGCCAAGATCCGGGGATCTGACTGGGAGTCACGGGGCCAGAATGCGGTGGGCCAGGAGTCTGCAGGGTCGGGGTCCGGCGCCCCTTTGTGTCACCTGCGCGGG